AAGTCTCAGACAATAGAAATTGATGCAATGTTAGCTGAAATTCAGAAATAAATTTCTTTCTTGTACCTTTGGTATTGTGGAAGATAAGCCAACTGTTTAGTAAAAAATTTTTTGAAGTTAATGTATAGAAATAATCAGAAAATTTTTCTTCTGAAGATCTTTAATTGAAGGAGGGATTACCATATTTTTTTCAGGGGCTTTCATATTTTGTGATGATCATAATCTTAACTGGGATATAATAGTCTTTTTTTTGTAACATATGGTTGAAAAAAATCATAACATAAAGATAAGATAAGATAATCTTTTTATCTGCTTTATCTGCTATGGCAAAAATCGAATAATTCGAACAATACAAACTAATTGGTATTATACATATCTTTTTATCATTGATCCTGATTTTATTCGTGATCTTCATTCTGTGATGTTTATTTTCAAGATGTTTATTTTCAAGATGCTCATTTCTGAGATAAATTTTCTTAGGGTAGGGCTAATTTTGTTTAGTCTTGATATGTGAAAAAATATTTATGTAAGGAGAAAAAGACAAGAAATCTTCTTTATGATTTAATAGTATGACTAGTGAACTACTAGCAAATCCTTCAGAAATCCATGTAGATGATATAGAGGTTTTTCAACATAAAGCACTTTCATTAAATTTTCTAATAAACACTTCTGAAATAACTGATAAACATATTCCGAAACTTATTCTTGTCACATTTTCAATAAAGAAATTCTTGCCTTATCACTTCAATCATTCACAGTATTATCATATAGACATATATACCATCAAATATGTCTTGAAAAACATATTGTATGATCAAAAACACATTTTTCTTTATGCCTTATTTCTAGCTATATATTACCTATCGAACTTATTAGGAAGGAATTTGCACTAGTTTCTAGTGAGTATCACATAGTGTCTAAGAATAAGGATTTCAAAAAGACCTCTTAAGTAATGATACTATAGAAGATAAAGATTCTCTTACGAGTCAGAAGAAAAAGTAAACTGAAGTTACTATGTATGATCAAGTGACAATTCTAATTGCGTATGTGAAAGAGATACCAAAGCTATCAGATATCATCGATAATACTGAAAATGATGATGATAGGAATAACAATCATAGTTCTCAAATAAGATATGTAATGTAGTGAAAATAGAATATGTAGTAATCACACTTACCTTTCATTCTGTTTATTCCCTGAAATCTATGATTGAAGGATAGATAATTTGACTAATCAAACAACTGAAGATGATATTACTAATATAGTCAACTCTCTATAAATGCACCCCCCTTAAGACCGAACATAAGGGTGCATTTAAAGAGGGAATGCATTTATAGAATAATAAAAATCACGTGATTTATATTGATATTTATAATATTATATTTATTATTAAGAATTAAAAAAAAATTATAAAACTAAAATTATGATTACAAAAATTAGCTAAAATATTGATTTATAGTAGTTTATTGAATTGAATTAATTTTTCAATTTTACCTACCAATTTTATTTGTTCACTTGCATTTTCCTGTTGAAGTAAAAACATATGCATAGTTTTTAAACTTTGCAATGCTTATTAATGCAAATAGGTTCTGCTTCAGTACTATCATCCATTTTATCCAAATCATTTTCATTTAGTTTTTTTCTAAATAAATCTGCAATTTCTGAAAGATTAGGAATTTCACAAATCATATCTTCTTCAGAAATGGTTAAAAATTCTTTTAATTGCATTCTATTAGAAAGATTAAGAGCCTCAATTGCATTAGTAAGTTCATTATCCAGCATTAAATCATCTTCATAAACTTCATCTGAAAAAATATTATTGGAAAGAATTTTTGTATAATTCCAATATTGAATAGTTTCGGCTGTAATTTCATTTTAACTTGGAATAATAAATTGAATAGCTTGCAAGATATTCATTTTTAAATCTTGTACAAGCTCACCAGCTTCAACTTGTTCTAACATCCACCTAAAATTAAAAAGTTTGTATTATATATATAGAAAAAATATATATAATTACCTAATATGATAATGTCTATAATGTTTTTTAAAAGCCATAATTATCTCCGCATTCATTGATTGAAGTTTTAAGTTGTATTAGGAGGCAAAAAATAAACATCAATATAAGAAAGAGTTAAATTTTCTAACTTATGACTTGAACAGTTATCAATTAATAATAAAACATATTGTTCTTCATGTTTTTGACCAACTATATTATCAAATTCCTGAAGCCATTCTTGAAAATGTGTTGACAACATCCAAGCTTTCGAATTATTCCGATAGATTATTGGTAAATTATTAAAATTAATGTTTTTAAAGCACCTTAGTTTGAAAATTTACCAATTACTAAAGGCATTAACTTATGTAATCCATTCGAATTGGCACATAGAGCAATTGAAAGCTGTTCTTTGTTTTTTTTGCGTCTGGAAAGTCATCATGTTGCTAACGTTTTATCCAGTTCTAAACTAAAAAATAAAATACTATAAATATATTATTAATATTCATCTAAAAATTATATAAAAGAATTTTAAAAAAATACTGATAAAAAAGTCTGGTTTCATCCACGTTATAAATTCATTTAGGAGGAAATTCAGCACATTTACTTCTTAATAGTGGCAAGGATTCAGTAATAGCATTTTTGTCAGCGGAATCTGCTTCTCTTTGAAGCTTTATCTGATGAATACTATTACAATCCTTAAACTTTTAAAGCCAACCGGAAGAAAACTAAAATATTAAAAATTGAATAAATTAATTAATTAAATTAAATAAATATTAATATTATGTTTTTAAAATAAAATTAAAAAATTAAAAAACTAACCTGTAATATTCCTTGAGGTATTTCCAGTTCGTCAGCTAATAATTTAGCCTTTTCAATTAATAAAGCATCACTTAAGATTGTTCTGTTTTGATAAAGTAATACGAATTCTTTAAGAGCCAGTTCAAGCTCTGGAAAAACAACAGGTTTGTGACGCTTTGCTTTTGGATTTGTAACTTCCGTGGTAATTCTTTTATCCCTTGTTTGCAAAATTCATGTAATTGTAGATTTGTCAACTTTAACTCCCCATTTTTGTTCAATCCAACCTATGTATTGAACGCGAGTCAAATTATTATCGCGAGCATATAGGCAAAATCATATTTCTGTATGTCAGTTAAAGTAGTTTTTTTAGACATTATTTGTAGCAAAAATTGTGCCGATATTAATTGAACTACGCGTACTGCGTCTACTACATGTGTTATAAGATTCGGAAATATCAGAAGTTTTAGTTACATATCAGAAACTTACAAGTCACATAGAGTGCATTTATGAAAAAGAGTTTTATATAAGCGGACTTAAAAAATTATTGCACCATTAGAATATGGAGGGAGTGTAATTAGCATTAAGTCTTAGCTCAGAACCAAGCAAAAGGGTGCATTTATGGAGGAAGTGCATTTATGGAGGATGCATTTATGAAAAACTGACTGTACACAAATCTGATCATCAAGAGAAACATTTTCAAGGAAAAATTTCGAGAGTTATTACATACCTATTAAGGGGGAGACTACCAAAACTAATAATAAGGATGAGGATTCTGAAGATTCAATTTCGCAGAATTTAGCTAGATTATTTCAAAAAGCAATTGAAGCCAAAAAGTGTGTAACTCAAACTTATCAAGAGAAAATTCACTGTTAGTACTACTATGCTGAACAGTTTGAAAAAAGTGTTAAGAATGTTAAAGATAATGATAAGAGGATTAAAGATCAACAGGCTAGGACCCAGGTATATAATGCAATTTTAAAACATCCTTTAAACATTACAAAAGAAAATTTACGTAAGAAGACACAAAAGGCAAGAAATATTTTCGAATTATTTAGTAAAATAGGGATTAAAAAAATCAAGAAGGTTCAATCCTATAGTGCAGATAATATTTCAAAGCTTACAGGTACTCAAATCAAAAGGAGTATAGCTCATTTTACTCAGGAATCATAAATTCTTTGCAAATCACGTGAACGCATAGTTCATGCTATGTGATCACTGCGCTACATATCAAAATTTTTTTATAAAAGTTAGTTTGATTAACCAATGTATGCTATATGTGTTACTTTATTGCAATGCATGTGCTATCTTGTAAAATGTACGTACAGTATTCAATCTGCATGTACTGATCATTTAGTTAATTGTATCACCTGCAGTTTATACGGGTAAAATATTGTGATTTAGCGATCTGCTAGTACCTGAGCTGATTATACTAAAATAACAGAACTCAAATATATGCGTCTTTTTTGCTTACTTTAACGCGTCTTCCTCATTTACCCTAATTTCATAGTCGCAAGATATAAAAAGACTTTAGGGGTAAGTTCAATATGTATATTTTTTACACTGTAATTATTGTGATTTCTGTACAGTCTTCTAATACATTTTTATCATGTCTATCACCACTTCTACTATCAACATTCGAGAAAACTTATCTGCATCTAACGATATCCCATATATAAAGTATTTTGAGCTTTGCTCGTATGAAACTTGATCTCTTCCCCACTACATTGCCTTATAATTGATAATTATAAGTTCGCTGAGAAAGATAAAGCACATCAGTTATTTTTTAATACTCTACACTATATCAATAATAATTTATATCTTCCACAAGAAACTCAGGATATCGCTCAAATACTTATAAAAAATAGAAAGGTAAGCATAAAAATATAAATAATATAATTTGATAAGGCTTATAGCCAGGTGCTTATACCTATTGGCTTCGCCTAGTAGGAATCATATAAGTACTGAAATGGATGCATTTATTTGATTAGTCTAGTAAATATCATGGAATTTGTCAACATAATTATTTATAAAGATCTGCTGATTCTGGATGAAGATTTGGCTATGTACCTTTCTTTACATTAATAAATATTATCATTGACATATTCCTGCACTTCGCCATCTAATCTTATTTTTGCGTGATTATTCTTATTTTATTTCTCACCTGACTTTACTTCCTATAAGCTGATGTCAAAAAAGTAAATAGTTTATGGAAAAAACTACCAAAAGGAGAAAGACATCTCCACCACCAGCATCTTTATTATCAGCATTATCATTGGAAAAAAGGCAGAGAGATTTGACTATTATAGATTCTTATGTAAAGAAGCAATGCATAGTCCCAGAAGTAAGTTGCTTCTATCTGAAAATAGATGTGCCTTTATGAGGTAATGGATCTGTAAACACTCTAGAAGTAATAAAATCTGCTGTTTGCATATTTGACTAAAAGACAATTGCCTTAGGATCCACCTGCTCTTATAAATATTCAAACCATTTGCAAGTAGAGTCTAAGTGCAATGAACATGTTCCAAGAGAGAGTGTTTACGATGCAGAGATGTATAGAATCCTGTATAATTAGCTTGCAAAGATGCATGGTTTAAAATAACTGGCCAGTGGCATCTAGAAGAAATTAATAGTGATGCAGACTGGTATCACCTTTATTGTGATCTAACGATAAAGAGATCTGATAACTACTAGGGTTCTGCAATTCGATTTGACATTTGAATATTTGATTTGATCAAATTCAAATCAAAGAATGATTTATTTGATCAAATCCAAAT